CGAGGCTGCGGTGGCCGGGAGTGGCCACTGCACTCCAGTCTGGGTGACAGAGTGCGACTCCAACTCAAAAAAAAAAAAAAAAAAGTGGCTTTACAGCAAGGCACGGTAGCTCACACCTATAATCCCAGCACTTTGGGAGACTGAAGTGGGTGGAGTGCTTGAGCCCAGGAGTCTGAGACCAGTCTGGGCAACAGCAAGACCTCATTTCTACAAAAAAAATCAGAAAATGAGCTTGGCAAGGTGTTGTATGCCTCCAGTCCCAGCTACTTGGGAGGCTGAGGCAGGAGGATTGCTTGAGCCCAGGAGTTCGAGGCTGTGATGAACCATGATGGTGCCACTGCGTTCCAGCCTGGGTGACAGAGTGAGACCCGATTAAAAAAACCAACAAAACAAACAAGAAGAAGTGGCCATAAGCAGGGACAACAAAGCAAGACTTCATCTCTATGGAAAAAAAATTACCTAGACATGGTGGTACATGCCTATAATCCCAGTTACTCAGAAGGCTGAGGCAAGATTGCTTGAGCACAGGAGTTCGAGGTTACAGTGAGCTATGATTGTACCTCTGCACTCCAGCCTGAGTGACAGAGTGAGACCCTCCCCTCTCTCTTTAAAAAAAAAAAAAGGCATTAGTCATGAAGACAATAGGTGTCAGAGGCTCAGATTAGAAGCTTGAATAAGCTATTGCCTTGTAAGCAATGGTCAGGCCATGTTTCCTAGCTTTGGCCCCCTCCCCTACCTTGGGAAAGTGAATCTGTGCTCACTCGCACGCTCTCTCTCTCTCTCTCTCCGAGTTACCTTTTAAATAAACTATATTTTCTAACCTAAAAAAATGCAGCTTGACTAAAACTGTGTCATGAAATGAAATGGAATGAAACAATGTTTCCAAATGTATAACTGAATGAGCCTTTAAAGGTATATATAGCAACATCAATACTGTTAAACATTATAAAAATGTATTAGTATATTTCATCTATCCTCTTAAAGTTGATATATACAAGCTGGTCAAAACCAATTTATTGGGAGGGAGAGGGGTTGTTATTGGAAAATGAAGAAACTGCATGTCAGTCAGGAACACAGGGTATCTGTGTCTACTTTGTGTCAGGCGCAGCTGAATAAAAAAATGAGGTAGTGATAAGTGCTAGCATGACAACAAAGCAGGCACTTTGATGGAGACGTGAAATGAGGTGGGGTCGTCACGAAGGCTGAAGAGGTGGTTTAAACTGAGGTTTGAATGACAGCCAGCAGAGGAAGTAGTTAATTCACAGGGGACAGGAATGGGCATACCAAGTTCAAGGAATAGAAAAGTTGGTAAGTTTGAGTAGTGAGGGAAGGGGAGACATGTACATGTAGACATCTATTTTGTTGTTGAAACTAGATGATGGGTACCAGGAGTTCATTCTTTCTCCCTTAGTATTTGAGAATTTTCATAAATTAAAAAAATATATATTTATACTTGTTTTGCTTTTCATAATTCTGTACATATTGTCGGGTCTGGTTCACTTAAGTTTATGTCCTGGAGAGCTTTCCACATCAGTACACACAGAGTTGCCTCATTTTGCTGAACGGTTACATAGTCTCCCAAAGTAAGAATGTACCTTACTTTACCTAGACATTTGCTTACTGATGGGCTCAGGTGTTTCCAACAGTTCAATATGGTACGTGACTCACTGGGAACATGGACAAACATTTCATTAGAGTAGATTCCAAGAAATGTAACTAAAAGCTATGTCCCTGTGATTTTATTAATTCAGCTGAGCACAGTGGCTAGTGCCTAAAATCCTAGCACTCTGGGAGGCCCAGCAGGTGAATTGCTTGAGCCCAGGAGTTTGAGACCAGCCTGGGCAACATAGTGAAAACTTGTCTCTACAAAGAAAAAAAAAATTAGCTGGGCATGGCGCCCATAGTCCCAGCTACTTGGGAGACTGAGGTGGAAAGATCGCCTGAGTCCAGGAGGTCAAGGTTGTCATGAGCTGTGATTGTCGTGATCATGCCACTGCACTCCAGCCTGGGCAACAGAGTAAGACATCAGCTCAATTTTTTTTAAATTAATTTTATCTCTAAAGAAGCTATTATCAATTTATGGTCCCATCAACAAAATCCTGGAATATTCATCTCCTTACATATATCCTAACACTGTGTATTATCAATCTTGAACTTTTCTCATCCATTTTGATGGGCAAATAAGCATCGTCTTTTTGTTGTACTTTGTGTTCCTGAGATTGTGAGGATGAATACCTTCTCATACTTATTAGGCAATTTCATTTGTGTGCAGAGCCTTTGCTTGGTTTTCCCACTGAATTGTTTATCTTTTCTTTTTTTTTTTTTTT